TACTACTACTACTACTACTACTACTACTACTACTACTACTACTACTAGACATCCAAACCTAGCGCTTGACGGTCCATGTTGGCTGACAGAGTTGGCCCCTCTGACAGTGCCTTCTTGTATTCTGATTAAAGAACACTCCTGCTGATAAACACGGAAGTGGAAAGCCCCAGTTTGTAAAGGAAAGTAGTCTTCCAAGGGACCATGCCATCCACGTAACAATGTGATGTGTTCGCCAGAGTGCAACGAGGAATCCCCAAATCCTGAGTCATGCTCCTTCAAGTCTCTGGCCGACGCATCCCTTGTTCAGCAAGACTGTTAAAAAATGTTGGGGAAAAAAACATCATGTTGGACAAATCGTAAGATCGATTGGAAGTTCTTGAGTTCTAACTTCATACATCTTCATCCATTTGATGGCAATAGATAGCACATAGACAGCCGCTGTCGGGCGGCTCAGGGGACTTGTGCGCTGCCGGGCTTGTCGCGCTGGGTCTATGCTAGGTCGCTCCCAGGGCCGGTTGCGGCTCAGTGCGGACAGTTGCCAACCTTTCTTGGCCTCATGGGGAAGTGAACACGATCATGGCCTCCAATCCACTCCCCGATCCTACGCCGATCATTCGGAGCCTGTATACAACAGGCTCGCAACAGATATATCGCTTCGTAGATTCCACCGAACCTCCTGTTTCAGGACCATTCGACCAGGCTGGGCATCCTTGCTAGACGCGCCCCAGCCCACTGGCTCTATGCGGGATCTCCGCACACCCCGGTCTGGTCGGATGGTCCAGGAACAGATCTTCTCAGCGAACTCTGTGCGCCGGCACCGCCACCCGACCAGGTCCGGTGCCTGCGTTGGCGCATTTCGTGGCCTCCTCGACGGCGCTCTGTCCCTGTGGACGAGGAGAACACACTCAAACAAGTCCCTGTCCGAGAGTGAACGGGATGGCGGGCGAGAAGCTCAAGCAAAAAGACTGACTGTTCACCCCATACCCTGAGAAGAATCAGGGCCACTATAGCACCCTTTCCAACAAGCCTCTCACCCACTAGAAGTCCCACTGCCCAGTGGCACTGCGCACCCCCGCCTTGGCTTGGCCTTTGCCTCGCCCCGCAGCGCCTTTGCCATGCCAACCGCCCATGGGCGGTTTGGAGCCGAGCTCGGGGGTCGGCGCGCGTCCCAAAACCCGTGGAGGGGGTCGTTCAGAGAGGCTCGGACACGTTGGCTCGACCACCATGCATGGAAGTAGATCGATTTTCCGCCGTGTTCTTCGAAGGAACGAAGAACAGTTTGATGAGAGAATCCTTGTTCCGGATTCATACATGATTCCATGATCGCTTGTCCTCGAACAGAAGCGAGGAATACGGGCTCGCAATCTGGTCTGATTCCTGGGCGGAGTACAACATAGTACAACCAAACTGACGAATTGGAGATGCCTGCCTCGCAAAAATCATCCTGCAACCGTCCTTGCCATGCAGCCGCTTGGGCCAAACGATGCGCTTGCTGCTGAGTGTCACGGTACGGAACAAATGGCCGTGAAGATGATTGGATGGGAGTCATCAAGGCAGCAACTAGGTGTGTATTGGAGCACATGGGTGCAAATTTGATAGGGAGGACCCCTAACAAAATGGACTTTGGTCCATTTCCCTTCTTCCAGGCGGTCGAATTGCGAGGTATCACTTTTCTCATGCATGCCGGTCATCACTGGTCATCAAGGCAGCACCTCAGGTGTCCCTGGTCGGTCATCCGTCGGCAAACACCCCGAATATGCAAGCTACACTTTGCCCCAAAAGGAGCCCACCGATTGAGTCCTTGGCAAAACGTGTGAACAATCTGATCATATCTGATCAGATCAGAATCCGTATGGGCCCTGACCATGGCGGTCGGACCCCAAAGCCTACAATATGTGTTGCTTCGGGGCCGGGTTCTATCCGGGTATATTGAACGATTCAAGTGAATCACCCCGTCGGCCCGTCGTAGACGGATTTCAGCCCATCGGCCGCTCGGCGCGAACGGCGGAACCGGTCGATTCGGCGACACGCCCGGCCGTTCCAAGATCTACCCCTACCAACAGAGGTATCCAGTGACCTGAACTAGGACCCGGAAAACCAGGGGTATCTATAGGATAGTCGAACGTTCGGGTTCTTCAACCTCTGCTGGTAGATCCACCCAAAAACGATGGAAAAACTAGACGGTTTACACAGTGTGTCACACAGTCAGGACTGGAATCATCGCGGAAGACGGAGGTCGAAAACCACCTGTCTGTACAGGAAAATGGTCTTCCTTGGGGGCCGTTTTCCATCCACCAGGACCGACACCCAGTGACCTCTGGATTGGTAAGTGACCTTTTCAAGGCCTACTAAGTGACCTCAGCCACTGGGATCTCAAGTTCGGTCACTGGAAAGGTCCTGGCACTGGTCTGTGAATATTTTAGGGAGCTCGTCGTGCATTATAACGGTTTGACAAGATGTACAAAGCCCATCAAAGCCCTGACATGCCAGCAGCCGCTGGCGGCTCACCACCTTTATAGGACATCTTTTCCGGCATCACGGCACCATGGCTTGCGGGCATCAGTCGCCCAGGCCCAAGAAACATGTATTACTCCCCTGCCAAGGACCCAGATGGAAACCCCCAAAACCGCATGGCTTGGTCTTCGACCTTCGACTTCGGCATCGTCCGCGGCTCTTCCCCGGACGGCCACCCGTTAACCCCCCCGCGCGACGCCCCGATTCGCGGTCTACCACGGCCACGTCCAGTCCTCAAAGGCTCTGGGCTCCTACCACGACACCCGTGGGCCGGCGGAAGACTAGACTAGACCGAAGCCGAGCCGAACCACCGGCGCCGACCTCAACCGTTCGACTCCAGAACATGAGACAGGAAAACCCTGGTGTGTGTGTGTGTCCACCCCTGGACAAAGGGTTTCGTCCGACTACTCCACCGTTTACATTTCCACCAACAGTTTCACATGCAGGGGGGTGCAGAGCACAGTGGAGACTGCACCCAACGAAGCTATCCACTTGTGCTGGAAGCAGAGCCTGATCAGCTCTGTGTACCTGCAACTGAAACCTTTGACCACGCTGTTCCAATCTTTTGTTTGCTTCCATGGTTGTTCATGATACTTCCCACAAACCTACTCTTCCCCAGCAGCTGAGCCGCCGATCGTCCGCAGATGTGCAGCGTTCGAGGGAAACTATGTTAAACATTTCAACTGATCCGACCCAATCACCTTGCCGTTCCACCGCCATCCTTCCCAACGTGGTAACTGAGTCACTGAAAACCAATGTCAGAGTGTGTTTCGCTCAGCCGTCCCACTCGGGTGCTGAGTGTGATCCCCGTCACAGGGGCGCTGCATTGCATGGGAATTCAAACAACCCAACATGCCACCTTCCACCGGATTTCCACTGGAAGTCATCGACACACCCCCTGAATCAACAGCCACTTTGGCCGCCGGGCCTAAAAACGGAAATTGATTTTCTGACAGACTCCTCACTGAATTGACGTTTCTGCGCATTCTTGAC